TAACTAACTTCACTTTTGTTTAGTTTAAAGCTTTAAAAATATTTAAATGCTTTTTAATTTATAGAAACTATTTAAGTATTTTTTGATATTTTTTTTAAAATATAGGTAAGTAATTATAAATATTTTATATATTATAAAATTAATTTGAATATGATTGTAATTATTAAGAATAAAAATTATTAAGAATAAAAAAAACACTTTCAACATTAAAAATATTATAAGGTAAAGATGTTTGCAAGTATGGTCGGAGGTTCTAAAAAATCTACAAGAAAAGAATAAAGTAAGAAGAAGGAAAAAAGAAGTGAATATGTGGTGGAAAACTCAGAAATTAGAGAAAAAGAAGAGTTGGAGCAATTAGATGATATGGATACAGATTCCTTCACTCGTTCCTTTGAAGTTTCAAATACTTCTGAATATATTTAATTTATTTTATAATATATATAAATAATTTATTATAATTTTTTATTTTTATTAATTTTATTTAATTTAAAAGTATAATTCAGCAAGAACTTTGTCTAAGATTTTAGAAAATCAAAATAAGATCTAGTGATGTGAATTTTACCAAATTGACATGTTTTTACAGATATCTACCGATAGGTGGTAGCTACTGGTAGCTTCTACTACTGGTAGTTTACTAGCTACATAATTTATTTGACAAATTATATACTTTTTGATATTTATGATTAATTATATAATTTAAAATTTTATTCTATTATTTTATTGATATCTACTTTGCATATAATTTGCCTACTGATAGATACCAGTATCTACCAGTAGATACCAGTAGTAGATTTCTACTGGTAGCTACCAACTCACATCACTAGTAAGATCCTTCACAAAATTGAAGAACTAACTTCCTATATTGTTCGATGAAAATAAGTTAAAAGAAATGAAGGATAAGTTGGTAGATAAATATGATGTAATGTATGAAAAAACTTTTCAAGAAATAATTTTAAATTTTTATTTAAATTTATATATATATATATTATTATATTAATAATTTTTGTAATAGCAAACTGTAAAAGGGGCCGCTAAAGCCTTAATCGAATATATATTATATCCAAAAGAAGAAGAATTTAAAAAAGAGAAGGAGATTTATATAAGGGTGCATCATGGCAAATTTATATCAGAAATGTCGAAAAAAAAGTGGAATACTTATTATGAAAAGAATTTACACAGACAAGTAATAATTTTTTTATTTAAATAAAATACTGCCAAGACAATAGAAAATTTTAAAATATTAAAAATTTTTGTAATAAGTAGAATAACATCTAAAATTTATCTATAACTTGGCAGCTAATCTATTAAATATATAAATTACTAAAAAATTCAAATATATTCGAATTTATTTAAAGAATTTTGCTTATTATAACTGTGGTAATTATCACCGATGTATGTAATTAGCTAATCAATTTGCAGGATTAGGTGTAACATGCAAATTAGTTTGTATAACAAAACTAAAGATTTTTTTTAAAAAATGCCAATATCTCAAGAATTCATCTATGAAACTGCCTTCAACATTCTAGCAAAAAAAATTTCTTACTAAATTTTGCATATATTTAACACCTTGCTAAAATTCTAGACCTCACATTAACCCTAAAGTAGAAGAAATGAATTTTTATTTTGTTTTATCATTATTGGCTAATTATACACCAGTGATAATCACCGCAGTTATGGTTAGACACTTTTAATTTGGGCTAAAAAATTTTTTTAGACAGATTATAAAAAATAATAAATAAGAATTATTACTTTCTCTCAACTATAGAATATCTATAAAAATATAATAAACTAAAGTGATTTGATGAATTCTTGTTTATTTAATATCAAATTTTACAGACAAAATTTTATCATAGTTCTTTACTAATGATATTAATGCACAGTAATAAATTTAGAACCAAGAAAAACTTTGCTACTAAGATTGTTTCTAAAAATGTCTTCATTACAGCTATAATCCCTAATCTAGATGACAAATGAAAAAATTTTATCATTTCGTCAATTTTCAACTAAATGCTCTAAAATTTCATACAGAAATAGCTGAATAGTATATTTACAAATGCTATTATTATAGTTTTACTTGTTTCATTTAAAGAAATATCTTCTGCAAAATGATTTCTGCAAGAGAAAATTAAGAAAAATGTCTACATTAATTTTTCATAAAAATTGTCATAACTCTATGAGTTTTTAAGATATTAACCTAAAAATTTAGATTTGAATAGAGTGAAATATGCTCTAAAAATCTTGTTATAATTGTACAATATATTTAGACTGTCAGAAGTTTTTCTGCATCTATGTTTTGTTTGAAAACAGCAATTTCATCAAGAAAAAAATCTTGTCTATAGGAAAAAATAGAAAAAATGCTATAACTTCATGAGTATTAAAGTTAAAAACCTGAAATTTTAGATAATAATAGATGAACTATATATAAACAAATTCTATTATTATTATACAGTAGATTTTATTGTGATAAAATGCTTCTAAAATTGATTCTTTACAAGAGAAAAAATAAAAAATTTGTAATTGTTTCTTTTTACAAAAATCTAAATATCTCAACAAATTTTTGTCTGTTTTATTTAAAAATTGAGATTCTAATAGTTGAAGTCTTGCTGACAATTGTTGTAAGAAATGTTTTTCAAGTTTTATTAATAAAATTTTATGTAAATTAGTGCTGTATCATGAGTATTTTCTTTAAACATATAGAAAAATAATATTATAAATCAATACATATTGGGTAAAAAGTATATTATATAAAAAATCAATTTAGTAATTCTTAATTAGGTAAAAAGTACATTATATAAAAAATCAATTTAGCAATTTCTAATTAGGTATAAAGTATATTATAGAAAAAATTAATTAGCAATTTCTAATTGAGTATAAAATATATTATATTAAAAATCAATTTAGCAATTCCTAATCAGATATAAAATATATTATACTGTATAAAAATCAATTTAGCAATTCCTAATCAGGTAAAAAGTATATTATATAAAAAATTAATTTAGCAATTCCTAATCAGATAAAAAGTATATTATATAAAAAATCAATTTAGCAATTTCTAATTAGATATAAAGTACATTATAGAAAAAATTAATTACAATTTCTAATCAGATATAAAGTATATTAAAGAAAAAATTAATTAGCAATTTCTAAGTCAATTGATGACTCAATAATGAGTCAGTTCATTTGATATATTAAAAATTATATATATAAAGGCTAATATTCTAACTATAGATAATCAGATAATTTTATTAGACATTCAAAATAATGAAAACAAATAACAGAATCACAAGACTTAATTTTAATTTATATTATTTTGATCGTAAACAATTTGATATTTTAATAAAAAACTTTTCATTAATTATAAAACTTGTTCATTTAAAGAATTCATTTATCAATATGAAAAGAATCATAATGCAAAACAAGATCAAGATTGTCATATTCAAGCAGTTTTCACTTTAGTAAATCAAACAAGATTGCCTAGTATTTATAAAAAGTTACAAACTAATAATGCATTAGAGAAATGGCATCATGATCCTATAAAAAGCATTAAAGATTCTATCACATATTGTAAAAATATCACAATAAATATAACAAATACAATCGAAAACCAGTTAATAGAAATGATCCAAGATGCAAAATTCAAGGTACTGTTCTTAAAATAGTTGATTCGGAAAATTTAGAAAATAAAATTCTATTCGCAATATGTTAATGTAGCTATGAAAATTTAAATAATCTTGCAAATTGTATATGGTATACACCTGAATGCTGTTCTTAATGTACTTTTGCAAAATATGATTTTGAATCTGAACCATTTCATTATAGACTAGAAAATTATAAAAAAAACCAAACAACCCTAATGGAAATAATCAATATACTAAAGAAAACTTTGAAAAAATAATGAATGATTTATTTATTGAAAATAAATCTGATAATGAAATTATTGTAAAAAATGCACAAAATAATCCTAAATGTGTTAAAAATAATCCAAATCATATTTATACTTTATGTCAAGCTATAAAAAATATTAAAAAAAAAGAAAACAGAAGATGCTGGAAGTCTGCAACAATCTTTTTGATTGATCTTTAGTATAGGTGGGCATATATAATTATTATATAATTATAACATATATAACTTAAACTATTTTGAACTAATTTAAGTAATTTTATAAATTATTAGAGTCAGGGTTAAGGTTAGGATTTAAATTAGCTCAAATTAATTAGGTTCTATATATTATAATCTTGTAATAATTTATATATACCCACCTAGACTAAAGAAGATCCTTTTTTTTTATAGTGACGAAAGTCGAGTTGGAAAAGGCTATTTGTTTTCATTATTATTTCCAAATGCATATGAACATAAAAGTGTGGATAGAAAATTCTGGCAAGATTTTAATAGCTCATATGAAGAAGTTTTGATTAATAAATTCAAAGGCCAAATCAAATATTTAGAACTTTTAAATTTTCTTGATCTAAAAGATTATAGTATTCAAATAAAAGGTTGTGGAAATGAAAATTTTTGCTTAAAAGTAATTGGATTTTCAGCAAATACAAAAGTTAGATTTATTTACGATTTTTGTGAAGATAAAGAATTAAAACCTATACCAGAACAGAAATTTAATAATACAAAATTATTTAGTTTATTTGTAAATCGATTAGATTATATTGTAGAATTTAAAAAATTCAGAGACGATAATGAAAAACCATGTTGAGAAGAATGTTCTTGTTATAAAATTCGAATGATTTTTCACTATGAATCATCTGAAGATTTTTTTAATTTCAAGTTTGAAATTAAATTTAATGATAATGTTTCTGAAAAAAAGTAAAAAAAATATTGGAAAAAAGGTATAGATATTTTGAAGAATTAGATAGTATTTATTATTGGCAAAAATATTATACAATTGACAAAAACAAATATATTCTTGGGCCAATTGAACTATATTATCTAAAAATTTACAATACTAAAAGAATATATCAAGATATGAATGAATATAAAGCAATCAAAAAAAAATTTAAAAGAAAATCCTTTAGAATATAGAGATGGAATTCCTTCTATCGAAATAGCATTTATAGTAATATTACAAAAATTAAACAATAAAAAAACAAAAAAAAAAAGAAACCTTATATTTAAACATCTACCAAATTAAGATCGAAAATCCAGCATATTGACAGAATCATTAGACCCCCAAGAAGAATCAAGTAAAAGAAAACTATCAATTAATGAATTAAATTATGATTCTGATTTATATTCAGATGATTCAGATTATACTCGTAAAAGAAAAAAAGGCAAATATGGAGCCTTTGCAGTAGAAAGGGCCCAAACTCCCCTAAAAATTAAAATTGAGTTTTTTTAATATTCAGATTAATCTTGAGATGGACTGTAATTTATAATTATAAATGGAAATAGGTTGGCATAATAAAAAATTGAGATATTTTAAAAAAACCTTTTTTGAAAACTCGTACGTCACGAGATTACCTGATATAACCAACTAATCAAATTGTAAAATTTTTGATTAACCCGGATCAGTCCGAAAAAAATAAACACAATTTTCTCAAAATTATATATTT